CTTTCTGTCTGTGTGCTTCGGATGTGTGCACTCAGAAAACCGTATTATCAAAAGTTTAAACTCATATGGTTTAAACCGCATGATTTCAGCGCGATAAACATTATAATCAGAACCAAAACAGATGTTTTTTAGCAGGTACGAGCTGTAATGGCGCAGCTCTATTCTGGAAAAGGGGGTGGGGAGCAGCAGCTCATTTGCATTTAAAGAGACAGGCCCGAAAAACAGCGTGTTTCTGCTTCCACTCAAAATAGGCATTTTCAAAATGATATAATAAATGATCTGTGGAGTATTTTAAGCATTCTGGGGACACCAGAGACTTATATTACATATTGTAAAAAGGGGCATAATATGTCTCCTTTAAAGGTCTCATACCCTGTGCTGTTAACTACAGACTGATACAGTATATTTTAATTTGATTTACATTTTAAAATATTGAATAAATTGTTTTCTGAAGTTTTAATAATTCATTTAATTTCCACAGTTTTTGATGATAAATTTGAATTAAAACATAGAACACAGAATCTGGAAAAACTAAAGCAGCAAATAAAATGGAATTTTTATTTTATGATAATCAAAAATAATGGTTTGATTAAACCACTAAAATGGAATCCAGAAAAATTTAAACCGAAAACACAGAATTTGGAAAAATCAAGAGAGGGCCCTACATTTTCCACCGTGCAAAGATGCTGCTAAATAATGTATGCTAATTATCAGAAGCACTAATTACAGTTAAATAATTCCTGCATGATAAGATAAAAAATGTCTAAAATAAAGTTCATTTGCCAGACTGATAAGCATAAGCTTTCATAATTGATGTTGCTGATAGATTGACTGTCTATGGCATTTTACATAGTTCAGCCTGTTTCTCTCTCGAAATGCGGTTTCACAACATTAGTACTGAGGATTTTATCAGCATACATGAGTGGATTTGTCATGAATATATAATAGTGATGAAATAAAGCTGTTTTAAATTAAATTCTTGGAGTTCTTGGCGTGTCTGCTAACATTTATCAGGCAGCGCCTTGAGTGTGCATTAAAGAGATATCAAAGATGGGAATCTCTATACCAGAAGCCTCCGCTGTCAGTTGCATTCATGTTTTATCAGTATAGTTCTTTAATAAGATTTGGATTTAGAAGAAGCTGAGACGATGGATATATTTCTCAGGGTGGGCTTATTTTAGAAAGTCAATTTTGATACAAGTGTATACAATATTGTGTTATTGCTATTGAAATGTTATTTCCTCTGTTATTGCCCAGGAAATAAGATACAGTTCAGTAAACACATTGACCTTGTGTGGCACGTTGTCAACGTATTTGGACTGGAGTAGGTTGTCCTGCCATTAAATAGCCCATTATAGTCTTCTCAACAAAATGTAAAGGAATAGTTCTTTCCATGTTTTGCAACACCACAAGGTGTTCTAGAGGAAAAAATAGGAATTCTAGATATAGATAAAAGTTGCTAGAATACTCACCTCACACACTGTTTTCTATTGTAGGTATTTTATTTGTCACCTGAACTGCACGCATCACTTACATCAGCGAGGGTCAGAAAATCTTTCTAACAGTTTGACTTCAAATTTTGTATTGCGATGCATTTGCTAACAATCTTGCCAGTGCCCATTTTTTACTTATTTTGCTTGGCGAGTGTTTATTTTGGACACACAACTTAAAACACAGATTCAATTAATTTATTCATTAATTCATCATAATAATCATGTTTCTGAATTGATGTCTGAGAACATGACACTGAGTGGTCCTTGTCTAATGCTACTTTAGTTCTGTGTCAATGAAATGCAGCATCAGAGCAGTCTTAAACTTTGAAATTGTCATGACAGGATATGCATTATTAAATAAAATTATATAATGTATTCTTTTTTGTTTTATCATTTATATTTGCATTAGTTTCATGGTTCTATATTCTTAATTTTGTATCTAAAATAAAGATTAATTTCTTCTTATTTCTGAGATTGTACACATTTATTATTGAGCATTATTTCATTAACTGCATTTGATCAGAAATACATTAAATAGTAATATTGTTGTGAAATAATATTACAATTTTAAACAACTTTTTTTTCTGTTAATATGTTTTCAAATGTAATTATTCCTGTGATGCAAAGCTGAAACTGTTTGAGCCCAAAGTTTAAAATGGTATTGTAATTTCTGTGTAAATGCATGTTAGCCTTCTCTATGCAGCACTGAACACTTTTTTTAATGTACCTTTAGTGGTATACAGTATATGTGGTTTAAAAATAGAAGGCAAAATTCGGTTTCTAGTTTAATCTATCTGCAGCTTCTCCCATTGAACTGCCAGCTTACCCTTACATTTTTCAAATACTTTAGTTACTTTAGTCTCTTCCTTCCCGTTTCCTTATCCTGTATCCATTATCTGATTGTGCCTCTAATGGGTGCTCTTAGTGGAGTCAAAGCACCAAATCCAATCTATCACAGTAAAGTCTAAGCGCTAAGCCCTATGTCTAGCTATTGGTCTGTTGTCTGGAATAGGTGATTAACTGAAAAATGTTGGATGCCCTCTGCTCAAATAAACGACATCATATTAAATATTTAATAGGACTAAAATTAGATGCCCACCACTCTATCCATTAGGAACAGAGTTTCAGCATTTGAGACAGAATATAGAAAGGAAAAGATTGCTTGCTGTTCACTGGAATGATGATCTGTTTTTCTTAAATCTCTGTTTAGGCTTCAAACTACACTACTGTTAAAAAGTTTGGGGTCAGTAAGTTTTTGTTTGTTTGTTTGTTTTTTGTTTTTAAAGAAATTAATACTTCTTCCACAAGGATTCAATTCATCAAAAGACTTCAAATAAATGCTGTTCTTTTTATCTTTCTATTCATCAAAGAGTCTTGAAAAAAAGTGTATCATGGTTTCCACAAAAAAAAAAAAAAAAATTAAGCAGAACAACTGTTTCCAACATGGATGACAATAGTAAATGTTTCTTGAGCATCAAATCAGCATATTAGAATGATTTCTGAAGGATCATGTGACACTGAAGACTGGAGTAATGGCTGCTGAAAATTCAGCTTTGTCATCGCAGGAATAAATTATATTTTAAAATATATTAACCAGAAAACAGTTCATTGTATTGCGCTAATATTACTTACTTTACTTTATATTCGATCAAATTAATGCAGCCTTGATGAGCATAAAAGGCTTCTTTCAGAAACATGAAAAACTCTGTTGTACAGTATTTCCTAGAGAAAATACCATTTAAAAAGAAATCCAAGTTTTACCAGTTTTTCCACCTAAATTTGCTGCTTTAGCAAAGCAAATCTTAGTGGATGTTCTATTCCCACTGGTCTTGATGCAGTAGGAGCTGATGGGTTATATATGTTAGCGTCTGCCTCTCAGCATTGGCTCTAGTAGGGACGACTGGCTATCTCTCCGCTAGCACTCCCTATGAGTACAAGTGTTTTCCATCCAGCGGTTTCGTCTGCACTCAATAATCATGGTTTGTTTTATGGGCATAGCCCAAAACCATAATTCAGTATTTACTCAAAAGCATTAGATAAAGCCTTATGAGTGCCATTAATTTTGATCCTCCTCGCTTTTAAACAGAGACAGATCGGTGTCTTAGGGAAAATTAGCATTTAAATGACTTGTGACCTGCAGTCTCCAGTCAACTCGCTGCGAAAACTTCTCAGCCATGAGAAATCCTGCTCTCTCCTTTATTTGATCTGTAGCTCAGAGTTATTTTCTGTGTGTGGATGTGTGGGTGTGGGTAAATTCATCCATTTATCTACACAGGTAGATTTTCTTGTGTTTTTTTTCTCTTGTGTCTCAGGGGAATCTCAGGTCAGCAGGGCAGATGAAGTTGTGCTGATGTTTTTATTGCAGTCTCATATCTGAGTTTAGGTTCTGTGATGCTATTACTGGGATATTTTAAACCGTTTTCTGCCCTAGATTTAATAAACCTGCCTCAAAAGAAGTAAAATCTAAATAATCTACCTTTTTAATACCTTTTTTATTGCTTGCATGAAGGAGCTTCAAAAAGCTTGAGGATATTACCATTCATGAAATATAGATGTGAAAATAAAACACTGTTATGTGCTGCTGTGGATGATGTGGAAATTTCTGTGTCTCATATGACAGATGACGACAAATTGAGTCTATTCTTACCATAAAAGAAATCCTTTTTAATCTTTAAATCTAAGACTGAGATAGTTTAGGTTCTCTATTGGCATCTGTGGTTCTACAAAAAACCTTTAAAATCCATGAAACCTTTATACCACACAAAAGGTTCTTTATAGTGAAAAAAGGTTTTTAAAATTTTCTTCACACTGTGAAAAAAAATATTATTTTAAAACTGTTCACTGAAAGGTTTATTTGGCAACCAAAAATTGTTCCGTCTGTCATCACTGCAAGAACCCCCGTTTGGACCCTTTATTTTAAAGACTGTACTCCTAATGCAATAATTTTCAATGGTTCCATAATGACCTTCTGGGTTAGTCTCCTATTGAATGATTAGATCTCTTGGCAGAGGTTTCAATTAGCGCAGTTGGCATCCCACAGCTTGCAAATCAATCCAGTAAGCCCAGGCAGGCATCACTGGCTTCCTCAGTCTCCGTCTGCTTTCAAATGGCTTCTATTTTAATGTTTCTCTTCTCTTTGTTCTCTTACAGTGGGGAAGACTTCCCTGATCACACGCTTCATGTATGACAGCTTTGACAACACATATCAGGTAGGCAGCTGGCGGGCCGCTTGACGTCCTTGTCATTCTGTCACTCTCCTTATTGTGAAGCATCCTTCAGAAAACATAATGGGCTGAGTTCAGTCTTTCATTTGTGAAGACAATTCTTCCAAATTCATTATAAATGTTCAACATGATTGTGTGGTTATTGAATCACAAACACATTTGCAAAATTTGATTATTCATCCTATATTCACCTCCAAACTCATCTGAATCAGCAACAGCAAAGATGAATATACATATATGGTCAGTTTCATTATCACACTGCATATGATACTGTGTAGCGAAACTCTTGGTAAATGGGAATCCAGATTTTCAGTGAAAGCACACTGCAGGTTGTTACAGACTGTTGTTGAATTGTTGAATAATGTGGGGGTGGAAAGCATGCTGTTTGAAACATCTCAAGGGAAGTGTTGTCTATATGAGCTTCATATTTTTTAATTAAACCTGTGAGAGAGCTGGTATATGGTAAAAGAATCCACCTCATGTGAGATGTGTTTTGTCCCCCAAGATGATTTTAAAGTCATCATGAAAATTCAGAATTCGTTCATGTACTGTATATGTAATGTTTCATCACAATGTTACAACTCAATCTTCCAGTGAAAACAACCAACGTATGCCACCATTCTACAATAGACTGCACCTCGCATTCATTTTGAGTATAACATCAACATCTTAAAATCCAACCAACAACTGATGGATAGAACCAAGCCCCCACCCTACTTTTTTTTTTTTTTTGACTCTGCCTGCATTTCTGCAAAACTAGTCAAGTCACCTTTATTTGTATAGCGCTTTATACAATACTGGTTGTGTGAAAGCAGCTTTACAGTGTCAAACAGAAAAATAATGACTCTTTGTTGTTGTCAATAATGCAAGAAGACAACAACACAGAGTCTTTTTTTCCAGCTAAAGTCAGTTCAGTGATGATTCAGTGATGTCATCTTCCAATAGTGTCTGTGCCACTGATCTATAATAGAGAACTGGATTGCTCATGACATCATAAAAGTGAAGCCGCCGCACCGCCATATTGGTATTCCCTAGTATTCCCATACACTCTATAGGAAATCATACGATTTTAAAGGGGTCATATGATGCGATTTCAATTTTTCCTTTCTCTTTGGAGTGTTACAAGCTCTTGGTGCATAAAGAAGATCTGTAAAGTTGCAAAGCAGATAGGCGGGGCATAGAGGAGAAACAATAATGTACATTATGTGGAAAATAATGTGTTTTTTTAACCTTAAACCACATAAACACATTGCATTACACCAAATACACAAAATAATGTTCTTTTTAGCAACATCATATGACCCCTTTAATGAGAAAACATCACCCAACGAGTCAGCGTTTTTACATCTTAAGTATCCTTGTACATTCTTACAACGCAAACCTCCTGAGCATGCAAATGGTTATTTGTTTAATGTCGGGAATTTCCCCTGCGTATTAAAAAGTTACGTGTCCTATACATTACTGTAGCAAATATCAGATGAACATGATGAACATCAGACGGAGAAATCCACAACATATGCAAATGACAACGTGCTCATGAAATCTGAATAAAGATTTATGCTTTGTATGTATTCGCCTTGTACGTTCACGGTTTATGTAATTATGTTGTTTTTTATTCGTACAGTACGGTAACTGCAAATGTTTTTCTAACAATGATTTCGTTAACAGCATTAATTTTTTAGCAGTTAATGATTTAAACGTCGGTTAAATTAATAATTAATTAAACACATTAGGCTACTCCTGGAAACTGTAATGCTAAAATGCCACAGAATTTCCGCAATCTTGAGGAGTCTGAAATAGATATAGCCCCCTCAGGACATAAAATAATACACACATCATAACGTATTCAAAGACATAACACTGACATTCGTATGCTACGGACTTAAAGACATGAAGCATTATTTCCAAGCTGATGCGTGGTAAGCTCTGAATTTCAATACAATAGAGCAATATAGTAACAGGCTTGTATTGTAATATGTATTGTATATCCGAATCAATTTCAGATACTAATACCAGATATATATTCAAGTTTAATATTTCCTGCGTAATTATGTACTCATAACGTATTCAAAGACATAACACTGACATTCGTATGCTACGGACTTAAAGACATGAAGCTTTATTTCCAAGCTGATGCGTGGTAAGCTCTGAATTTCAATACAATAGAGCAATATAGTAACAGGCTTGTATTGTAATATGTATTGTATATCTGAATCAATTTCAGATACTAATATCAGATATATATTCAAGTTTAATATTTCCTGCGTAATTATGTACATAAAGAAATATATTTTGTGTTGGATCAGTCACCTGTGTCAGGCAAGTGTGCAGCTGACACACCCACCTAAACGATTTCAATATAGCGCTTATCCTGCCCGAAAAGACCAGATAACATCTTGATAAAAATTAATTTACATACACTTATCCATACACTTATCTTAAAAACTAATCCCGTGTGACTGATACGCTTCAAATCGGGTGATTTTAAGTCGGTGTTTTGGCTGTCAGTCAATGGTGCTCTCCGCCAGTAGGGAATAGTAAGATGGCCGCTCGAACACTTCCGGTGGCTTCACCGTTGAATGGAAGTTTAGAACGCGATGAGCGATCCAGTCATTTATATAGATCAGTGGTCTGTGCAATCAGTCAAGTGTCCCCAACTAATCAAGCCAAAGGCGACAGTGGCAAGGAACCAAAACTCGGTGACACAAATGGAGAAAAAACCTTGGGAGAAACCAGGCTCAGTCGGGGGGCCAGTTCTCCTCTGGCCAGATGACACCAGCATGGCGTGGTTTAATTCCAGGCTGCAACACAGGTGCAGAGGACTTGTCTGTTTCCCGTGGTCTTGTGCCGATGGTCATCGAGGTGATGAGGTCTTCACAGGGGATCTGTCTCTGGGGAGCATCTAGTTGACAAAACTACATACATACATTTCACTGCAGTTTCCAGGTGAAATAGACTTGTCTAGTAATAGATTAGTGGCAGTAAAACACCAACAAGCGCCTTTTGTGGACGTGTCATCTAAAAAGTGCTGCAAAATCTACCCGTAGTGTTCTGTCCGCAAGGTTATGCAGAAATGTTGCCACAGTAACATATTTCCAATGAGCCTGTGTTGGAAATGTTGCTTCTTATGTTTCATCATGACTTTAAAGAAAAGTCAAGTAAGTCACCTTTATTTATATAGCGCTTTAAACAGTACAGATTGTGTCAAAGCAGCTTTACAGTGTTAAACAGGAAAATAGTGTGTCAATAATGCAAAAATTCAAGTCTGCTGTAGAGCAGCTCTAAAAAGAGGACAATAGTAAACAGTCAAATTTTCAGTCAGTTCATTGTTGATTCAGTGATATCATCGTCCAGCTCATTTCAGTTCTCTTCAAATAGTGTCTATGGAATCAAGTCGCCAAAATATTGCCAAAAATTAAAGGCACAATATGTAAGTTTTCGCCGCTAGAGGGCGCGTATTCAAAAAAAAAAGGGGAAAAAATGTAAGTACACAAGTCAGCAAAATATATAACACTGTTCTAGTGGTTTTTGGATATTTTAATAAAAAAATCATACATATTGTGCCTTTAAGTGTCCCCAAATAAGCAAGCCAAAGTCAACAGCGCCAAGGAATCCAAACTCCATCTGTGACATAATGGAGAAAAAAAAACAACAGTTCTCCTCTGGCCAAACACATAAAAACAGCTCTTAATGTAATCTTTTCTATCTTTGTGGTGTGATTCTCCTTCTGACTTCTCAGATCATTATCACATCAATTCATTTGGTATTATCACTTTTCCCAATTCTCCTGTCATTACTGTCACACCAAGCTTTTTAGAGGACAATTCACTTTTTTCACAAAGTAGTCAAAAGTGTCCATGATGAAAAATCAGCCATGTGTATTTGTCTGTGTTCTGTCAAAATGCTATGTCATTTGTATTAGACTTGAATTTTTCCATTCCACTTATCTGCATGGTTTATAACCCATAAAACCTGAAGGACAGTGAAATGATGTGAATGGAAAGTGTTTTTTTTTTTTCAGGCTGAAATGCTCTGTAGGCATGTGTCTATTTAGATGTCTTTGTGTTTGAGCTGAGTCACAGCTTTAGTGCACTACAGGTTCTAACTGTCACAATAGTCCAGCTGTCTGATACATATTATGCATGATGACGGCTCTCTGGAGTCTCTCTGGCCTTGATCTTGCCTTTCTCTCTTTATATCCTCTCCATTCTGCTGCACTAACACTGTGTTCACAAATTATTCTTAAAACTTCAGTATTTTTTCTTAAAATGGCAGTTAAACTTTAGTAGCACTTTGAGTACATTTCTATGCCAAATGGTAACCTCATCAGCAACAAATAAGGATTAATGTTATGCATTCTCTCTGTTGTTAATATCTTGTTATATAAATGTACAGTGCAAATGATTAAAAATGGACCCTTACAGTTGTCCTCCACACTGACAGTGTACCAATAGTAGCTTAATAAAATGCCAGAATATAGAGTTAAGCTCTAACCAGCCCCCTGATCTGTACTCTCACAATGTGTGTAACGATTATGTTTGTGTCATAAACCAAACTAAGCATGCTGTAGAGCTACAGTGTCAAGCTGTAATAAGATTACATGTGTGCTTTGTGAACAGACTGTGTTGTGCTTTCTGATGGTAGATTATGGAATCTCAAATCCAGAGCGTTGTTTTGCACCATGCATTTATTCTTACTAAAATGCTTTGTGTTCTATTAATATGTAAACAAATATAAATAATAATGTAATAAAAAAATAGTGTAATATCGTAATCATTCATTGACTTGAATACATGATTGCATGAAATCTCTTAAATTGTCAGATAATTTGATCATTTTATGGCAACTCAAGGTTTGTTCATGTCATATGGTGCAACTCCCCCCAAAAACTTAATGATAGGCTATATGAATTAAGAATTCATAAGATCTTAAATATATATATATATTTCATCATTTTTTTTTAAATTGATTATGGTGTGTACACT